CCCGGGGCCCCAAAGGACGGGTCGAACCTGCTGCAGAGTTTGCATTGAGGTCACAGTGAAGCGAGACAAACGGAGGAAACACAACACAGTGTGAGAAAACGCAAACATTTTTCAGTTCCTTCCACAGCGAGAACAAACTATGTTTAGTCTGTTCGACTCCCTGGAGCCGAACTGATCAACACTCGGCAGCCAAAAATATCATGACCATAAAAGGCCCGAAGAAACATTCTGCTGACCAGCGTTAACGGGCAGATCTGCTTGCAAAGGTATGAGAGTGTGTGTGTTTGTGGACACTGTTAGAGGACCAAAACAAGTCCCTTTTTTTCCTCACTGCCTGCTGATCTCGATTATCCAATAACAGCTGCTCCTCTCATCCTGTTTAACCGTTTAAAACCCCCCCCAAAAAAACCACCTGACCTCTATCGATAAAATAATAAAATAATAGAATATCAGTTTTCACACATGTTGAAGATTTTCTCTTTCATTAAGTGATGATAATCAAACCACAGAGTACAGTTTTAAACAACCAGGTTAGTCTGCATCCACAGACTCAGATACCTGCTAACTGTTCTCAGCAACATCCAATCAAAACCCTCAAATTTCACTCAGCACAACTGAAGCTTCATGGATGCTTTGTTAGTACAATTACCTCACTGCAGCCACGTTATTAATTAGATCAGGTCATTAAAAATGCTTCAAAAGTCTCCAACAGCACAAACACGCTCCACAGATCCAGTTCAGGTGAAGCCTCGAAGACAAGTAACAACTACAACCATCTACCTGTCAGCCACACCCATAATCATGCAAAGTTTAAGCCTTAAAACAGGTGAGTTATGAAAACATTCTCCTCCATACAGGTGTCATGAAGGAGGAAACATTTTGTGCTTTAACAAACAAGTATATCTTTAAATATGAATAAAAAGCAGAAGATTGATAATAGAGTGGATCCCCACAATCTCCTATTCTGGTTTTTGTTACCCACAGTAAGAAAACTGAGTCACTGCTGGAGTTTCTGCTGGACGTCAGAGGAACTGCAGTTTGGCTGCTTCTGGCAGCAGCCGAGCTTTGACCAGCTAACCGTGACGTCTGCACGTTCTGTTCAGAGTTTACTTGTGTTCATTTTTTTAAAGGATTCTAGATCTTTTTGTCTTCTTTTTTTTTTTCCCTGTGACATGAATCAAACCTTTACACCAAAATAATCATAAGAACTCTAAACTGTCCACATTCTGTTATCTAATCGTGAAGCGGGGCAGCACCTGCGTCCGCTCACTGAACCTGAAGCCTGTTTCCTCTGACAGCCGCTGCTGGACTTTCCCTGCAAAACAAACCCTTTTTTCTGAGTTTGATGTCTGGGAGGAAGTGACTCCACGGCTGCCCACTAACAAAGTTGTTCTCTTTAAAAAAAAAAAAGAAAAAGAAGAAGATCTGCTTTCTTTTTCCACGAATGAAAGGAAAAAGAGAACTGCCTGACGTGTTCGAGCTCATGGAGCTCTCACGGAGGACTTTCTCTCTCTTATAAGCTATAAAACGACTCGTTGAACATCATGAATCATATTTGCATCAAATATTTCAGACCAGGCAGGGTCCACCTTGAAATTACAAATTCAAAATTCAAATTTTATTTGTCACGTACACAGTCATACACAGTACGATATGTAGTGAAATGCTTGGACAACTGCTCGTGACCTAAAGAAAAAAAAAAGGAAAAGGCTATGAATAAGATAGGAAATAAATATGAAAAATTAAAAAGTGTAAATTTAACTAGGAAGGAATAAAATATAAATTAAGGTTAAAAATGAAATAACTGTACAACACAAATTAGAATGAAGGGTAAATTTAACTGGGAAAGAATAAGATAAAATATATAAATTAAAGTTGAAAATAAAATAACTGTACAACAAAATACACAATATAGAACTATATAAGAATGTATGAAGAAATATAAATAAATATATACACAATAACAGCAGCTGTATTAACTGGAAATGAAGAATATAGTGACCAGTGTTGTGCAATCCACATTTATTACACAATTATTGATCTTTTTTTTTGCTCATTTTAAAAAATGTGTTTCAGTTTTTACAGTCAGATATGATGGGCGGTTTTCATTCCCAGGGTTCATCATCCTCTGTTATCAAGCAGGGTGTGTTTACTTAACTTTAAATACAGTTCTTTGTTGACCCTGCAAGAAAACCTACTCAAACTGACTCGACATTTCTCATTGCAGAGGGTTAATGAACCAACATGCTGATTAAAACTGAGCAGCAGGTGAAGATCTGCAGGGTCCATGTGACACCTCAGGATGAGAATGTTTTGAATTTGATTGCACCGACTCCAAAATGGGGTTGACGCTCAGCCACTTTATTAGAGATATCTGTTCAACTGCTCATCAGTATCTAATCAGTCAATCACGTGGCAGCAGCTCGGTGCATTTAGTCATGTAGACGTGGCCGAGATGCCTGCTGAAGTTCAAACTGGGGATAGGACTGATGAAGAAAGCTGATCTACAGTAAGTCACCGAGTGTGGCATGGTGTCGGTCTGAGTGTTTCAGAAACTGCTGATGTGCTGCCATTTCCCACAAACATCTCTGAGTTTACAGAAAAAATATAATACTGCCGCTCTATGGAAAGCAAGCTGATAGAAGGTAACAGGAACTCAAATAAGCACCTGTTACATCCAAAGTATGCAGAACAGTATCTTTGAACCTAGCAGCAAATGAGCTGCAGCAATTGAAGAGCACACTGTGTCATTCCTGTCAGTAAGAACAGGAAAGTGAGGCTGCAGTTCACACACTAAACAAAACTGGACAACAGAAGGTGGAAAAACTAAATCATGACGTGTCACGTCAGAAGAACTTTAAACTGAAAGGTCAGAGAGAAAATGCAGACTGCTCTGTGCAGAACCCGGTGACAGTCGGGAGAAGAAACCCCAAAAACTCAGCGACACAAACTAAAGCATGAATGAAACAACGCAGATCAGCTTCATCAAGAACATCTACTTTAGATAATAAAAATGAATATCACAGCAGATTCACAGCACTAAAACTGAGAATATCAGACGACTTCTTTATCGGTACTGACCTCACGTGTTTGAGAAACACCCTTTGTGCTTCCACCCTTTTATTTTGTCCCCAACTTGCTGATCCTGATCAGAGCCTGAAGATCTCCCAGAGCAGACAGAGACTTTTGTCTGCATCAGTCTGATTATCATTGATCGACGTTCACGCAAACGATTACTTTGATTATTGATTAGTCAGCTGGTTATTTGGCTTGTTTAAATATCAACTCCACCTCCTGGAGCTTCATGAGGACTAAAGAGAAACTTCTGGGTGTTTCCCCACAGGATAAGGACTGTGGCACATCTCCTCCTGTGGGAGTGTGTGTGTCAGAAAACCAATTTTCTTCCTTTAAAAAGTGCTCTGAGCTGAGTGAGCCTGCGCTGGGCTGCTGATGATCTAATGTGAATAAATCCAATAAAAGCAGCATGATGTAAGCGACACCTTACATCGCATCACGTGACTCTGCTGACCACTTTACGGGTGCAGCATTGAAAGCAGGTCACACTGCAGCTGCAAACACAAGCAGCAGGATTAACTATGTCCCCGAGGCTGGGAGAGGGGGAGGGAGGGGGGCATCCTGCACCTCTGTGCACCTCCTCCTCCTCTCTGTCTAACCTGATGTCAGAGGCTTTTGTTCGGCTCTCTGAGGCATCCTCTGCATGTTTCATGGAGCCTCGTTGAGATTCAGGGCGTGACTGAATCTGATTAACAGGAGCCGCAGAAGCACTAAAGCGAATCTGTGGAGGTAAATGTCACGCTCATGTTACAGTGAAGTCAAACAGGAAGCAGAAACACCGTGAAGTCCATTACACTCAAAGAAAACTCAAAACCCTTCGGTCTACAGCGTCGTTTGGAGAAACGTCTGCTTCCTCTTCAGTATAATGGAATAAACGGCCCAAAGTGCTAAAAAAGGCAATCAGTGAAGCACAAAGTCACCCAACCTTCCACTGGGTCATTAACCCATTGCTGCTGTTAGCCAGTTTTACTCCTATAAAAGTCGCCCCATAAGTCATAAAAAGGAATAAAAAGCAGGCACTGCTGCTGAGGTGAAATCAGAGATCAGACATCCATCATCTCAGACTCCAGACTCACAGAGCCACCCTGAAAACCTCTGAAGAAACAAGCTCAACTAGTTTCCTACATAAAGGAATTTTAAATGAAAAACATTTAAATCACCTCGATCTTCTTTAAACTATTACATTTAGAAAATGGAATAATAATAATAATGATAATACATTAAAGCACACTATACATATTAAAATACATTATGTTTTCACTTCATTTTAACTGACTTTAATGAGCTTTAATAGTTTTCATTTTTTATTACAAACAACATATGCTTTTGTGTTTTTGTATAAGATCAACGGTGAGATTTACTCTCACTCAGAAATATAGTGAATATAATTAATGATAAAACAAAATAATGGTTCGATAAAACAGAATGTGACAAAAATATAACTAAAGTAGCTCTTAAGTATGAAAGCTTAAGTTATTTTACTTCTATGAGCTGTTTTAGTTTATTCTACTCTACTGAGCTGTTTCAGTACAGAAATTTCCTAATTTTTGACATAAAGAAAGTTTTTCTCGGTCCTTGCCATCTGTCTGTTTTCTTTTGAGAAATAATAATAACACACACATTTGTGTGTGTGTGTGTGTGTGTGTGTGTGGGGGGGGGGGGGGGGGGGGGGGGGGGGGGTCTGGAGGGCCTATCCCTGCCCAGTGGCCCTGCAGGAGTTTTTGTCCGGCCCTGTGCATCCAGCATTCAGGTTTCCATTAACAGTTAAAAGGGTCACACAGTGACTCAGAAGTACTTTTACTTTTACTCATATAACAGTGTTAATATAAACAGCTATAAGTGAGTCTGTGATTGATCTGCATGTATATGGGACAAAGCCCCATCCTGACTGTTGGTGAGTGAAACGGAGATTAATGAGGTCTTACCTGGGAAGGCGTGTGGGTTGGACGACCCTCTCTTGAGGCACTTGGAACAGAGAACATGTACAGAGTAGTGCAGACCGGGCCACTCCTGCAGCAGCATGTTCAGCTCCTCCACCAGTGGAGTGATGGCCTGCCAGGCAGTCCAGATGTTGGGCAGTGAGGCGTGGCTGGCGATGGAAAGAGTCTCCACCTGCAGCTTTCCTTTGGCAGGCCGGTGGCTGATCACCACGGGAACTTTACCCCGATAAGCGAAGATCTGGTGCTTGCTGTCTGAACGCTGCACCACGTGGCTGTTGATCTGCACGCTGAAGCGTGCGAACAATCCAGGAGGAAACAGGAAAGGGAAACTGTACTGGATGTGCAGCTGCTCCACAGAGAAGAAGTTACACAGAGGCAGAGAGCTCCCGCCGGCTGAAGCATCCACCTGGACCTCCTCGCTGCTGACGTAGCTGGGGAACTTGTACCACACAGTCGCGCCATTCAGAGGCTTGCTGCGGGGTTTGTTTATGCAATAGCAGATCCCCATTTTCTCCAGTAGCTCCATGATGAGATGGAGGTCCTGCTGGGTCTGGATGAGCGGTCTGAGGAGCAAGCGGATGACATTAGAGGGTAGGAGTCCATGCTGGAGGAAGCCCTCAACGTGGTGCTGCAGATGGGTGACCCTGAGGTTCTCTCCCTTCTCGTCCTCTATGACCAGACTCACTCGCCCCTTGTCCCCCCTCTCCCCTTCAGAGAGGAGCCGGTCCAGCAGGGTGGACTCATCCCTCTGGAAGAATACATTGAGAATTGCGATGAATCGTGGAAGATTGTGAAAAACGTATTCCCTTAGCGTGAGGCTGTCCTCAAAGTAGAGCAGCTTCCCACTCTCGTGCAGGTAGGATAAAGCGCTCTGCAGCCGGTCCTCAGTGAGCCCTGCCTGCAGGCCCAGCCGGGCTGAGTCCCACCACGAGAGCCACAGGTCTTTGGGCTTAAAGTGCAGCTCCTCCAGCATCTGCCAGGACTTTGGCAGCACACGATGGAGGTTGGGGAAGATCTCCCTGTGTTCTGCAACGGACATGAGCTTCTCCCTCAGCCTTGGGATGTTCCTCTGAGCACCTGTGCAGCAAACTCTCAGGACAGGAGAGAGGATCTGCAGCCGGTGGTTCAGCATGTACTGCAGCTGGGCTTTTCGGCGCCTCAGGTTTTTGTCAGTGACACCGTAAAAGAGGATGTGAGGGCTGGAGGTGCGGACGTTGTAGCCCTGCTCCAGAGCCTGGTCCACCTGCAGTGCCAGCCCCCTTAAACTCTGGATGTCCCTCTTCTCCTGCAGGCCAATCTGCCTGTGGATGTCCAGAGTCTTCTCCTCCACCTCCACCTCCGCACACAGGTCTGTGTGCGTGCCCACCAAGCAGACTACAGCATGGGGCACTTTGGCGCAGAGCAGGTGAAGGAAATACCCAACATGGGTGTAAAAGTTCTTGGGCGAGTACGTTTTGAGGTTGATGACGAGAATGTAGAGAGCACCGGGGGAGAGAAAGAAGGGTTTGATCAGGTCGTAGTTTTGCTTCCCTGACAGGTCATACACAAGGAACGTGAGGTGGCGATCAGCGTCTGCCACCCAGTTGGTGACTTCAATTCCTTTGTTTCCCTGGTTACTGCTGGCGTCCTGCTGCGTGCTCACCAGGCTCTGCCTCAGCCGGGTTTTCCCTGCGTTTTGGGTCCCCATCAGGACCAGTTTGAGCCGCGGCTTCACGGCAAACTGAGAGTGTGCAAGCTCCTTCTGATACACTGCGATGTATGGGATTCCCTTCATGCACACCTCGTACGGTGGCTGGATCAGAGGGTTATCCTTCACTTTCCAAATGTTCACTTTGGAAAGCTTTCCAAAATTATCTGGAAGAATGGCTATTTGGTTACCCTGTAAAACGAGCTCCTCCAGATTCTCCAGCTCCACGATGGAGTCAGGCAGATATGTGATGCTGTTATTGTCCAGCCACAGGTTCACCAGCTTCCCCAGCTGGCCGATTTCCTCTGGAATATGAATCAGTCTATTCCTGCTCAGGTAAAGCTCCTCTAATCCCGTTATGCTCAAAATAACCTGGGGAAAGTTTTCAAAGTCATTTGAGGACAGATTGAGCATTTTGAGTCTTTGCAGGCTGCCGAAGGAGGGGGGCAGCTCTCTGAGGTGGTTCCCGTCCAACATCAGGCTCTCCAGGTGCTGCAGGTGACAGAAAGTGTGGGGTAAGGAGGACATGTGGAGGCTGCTGAGCCACAGGATTTTGATGGACTGCAGCTTCCGAACGTCCACCGGTAACACCTCAAACTTATTCCCAGAGCAGTCGAGCTCCTCCAGCTCACTGAGGGCCATGATCTCGGGGGGAAACTGGTTCAGCTTGTTGTGATCTGCATCCAGAGTTCGCAGGTGGGCGAGGCCGGAGAACGACCTGGGGAAATCGTGCAGGTCGTTAAAGCTCATGTCGAGCTCCTCCAAAGACTGCAGAGCTCCGATCTGAGCTGGCAGGTGCTGGATTTTGTTGTGGCTGATGCACAACTTCTTCAGCCCTCTCAGCTGCCCCACGCCCTCAGGAAGGCTCCTCAAACAGTTGTGGCTCATGTCGAGCTCCACCAGCCGCCCCAGCTCAAACACTACCCTAGGGACAGAGCTGAACTTGTTCCTGCGGAGGACCAAGACGCGCAGGTTGTTCAGGGAGGATCCCAGGCCGTCCGGCAGCTCCTGCAGGGAGTTGTTCCCCAGGTTGAGCGCCTCGATGTCGGCTATGTCCTCTGGCAGGATGATCTGGTTGTTTTTGGAGCAGAGAGTGAGCTGCCTCAGGTTGCTCCGCAGCTTCCTGGAGCGGAGGGCGGCATCCCTCCACAGCCTGGCCGTTTTCAGATTGTTCTCCTTGTCCTCCATGGCGCTGCAGCCGGACCCCTCCTCCTCCTCCTCCTTCTCCTTGTTTTCATTGAGAGTTTTCATGGATCCTGAGCGGGCAGCATGGTGGACGGAGTCCCTCAGAAATCAGCGCGCTCCTCACCCACAAACCCTCCTCCTGAGAGGGCAGACGATCCGCTTCGAGTCGGGAAATGATCGAGTTTGTCGAGAGGAGCGGGAGGCGTGTGCGCGGCCGCGGAGGCATCCTTTTCTCCTGCGCCACTCAGCACACAATAAAGGCAGACCTCAGCGCTCACAGCTCCGGCTTTAAACCGAAGCTCCGGAGCCTCGTTTCTCCTCCAGTCATCGCCGCCGCCCTCATCGCCTCCATTAGCCGTCCTCCGCCTCTTTCCGTCCTGGTGGATGTGCGCGTTTGTGAGCGCTCTCCGAGCCTCCGTGTCGCTTCCTGGGAGCGGGGAGTGGAAGTAAAGGAGCAGCCGCTCACTGCGTCAGATCTCTGAGCCCTCCTCCTCCCTTTCTCCTCCTCCCTCTCTCCTCCTCCCTTTCTCCTCCTCCCTGCACTGTGGGGAGCAGCAGGAGGAGGTGGAGGAGAAGGGAAAGTAATCGGAGGGTGAAAGCTTCCTAAACTGTGCAAAGAAATTCAGACCAAACACAAAAACAGTTCGACAGAAACATTTCTGCCGAGACAGAGAGAGACGATCAGCTGATGAACGCAGAATTTATAAATGTAGTCTGAATATTCATGTTTACACATGCAGAGGTTCAGAGTCCAAAGAGGATAAATGCGAGTAAAAAAATAAAAGAATAAAGGTGATAATATTAGTGATAAAGTCTGAACATGAGCCCGAAAAGACTGTAAATGTGAGTTCTCCGACGGCAGAAGAAGGACTCTGCCTCCACGTGCTGGTCATGATGTGGAAGTACACCAAACAGCACGTTTAATTCCCAGGCGTCTCCTACAGAGCTGTTCTAGCTTAGTGTTAGAGTGTGTTCACTCATTTCAGTATTCTGGTTGGAATTTCATTAGTTTCTCTCTTTTTTATTATTCACAGCATTTTAGATGTTTTTGATACTGCAATCATACTGTTAAACTGAGTAACCTTGATAACCTGCAGTCTTACACACACCACTCAGGAGCTTCTCTCCTCCTGTCATGCTTACATCTGCAACACATGTAAGACCACATCTGTCTACAACACTGAAATCCACACACACAGATCTTTATTTGTCCTCTGCCTGAAATCTTTCTACCTATAAAAGCACGTTGGGACTGAAGCTGTTTCCAGACTACTGCAAGCTGACAAAACAATAGGATATCTCATTGGCTTTGATGTTTCCACTGATGGCATAAAATCTAATATTGTGTTTAATTAAGTAGACCAAACCCCATTTTTATCAACTTGTTATTAGAGCTCAGTTTAAGTAAGTTACCGGTACTTTTCAAAAAGCTGATCAACTCAGTTTATTTGAGTTGATATAAATTAGAAAAACTAAGTAAACTGGAAATGTATTCAAACTGTTTTTGTGCATTCTCTCAGTTTAGCACCAGGTTTATGAACTTGCTAACTAGCCAGTTTTAGCCTAGCTTTTCATATCACCGATGCTCAGTGTGCATGCTGCTGCATCTCAGCTCATGTTACTTAAAAATGAACCCTGCAGCTTTAAAAACCTTGTATAAAAATCGTATACATTTTTTGTTGATTGTTTGAAATAGAAAAGTGAGCAGCTATAAGAGCCCAGATGAAACTTATTCAGAAGATGCAGCCGTTAGGGGGCGGGGCTTGTTTTTAATCCATATGAACCTTTATAACATATGAACTGTATATTTTGACCCCTGTATTTATTTCAATGCTTTGTGATTGCTTTTCAACATCTGTGACATCGATTAATGTCACAGATCTCAAGTGGGTTTTTTGTAACAAAACGTGTTTAGACAGGTTTTGTTGTGAAAGTCCAAAGCCATAACCAGATTACCGGCTTGTTAAATAGTTAAAGTCTAGGTTGGCTTTATAGTTGAAAATAAAGTAATTCAGCTTGTCCTTCTAAAGAATTAAATTAAATCCCATGTTTGAATCATATGAAACATTTTGGGTAAGCACTGCCACATGTTTTATCAGGTCATTGTGCTTATTAGAAACTTTATATATTGGATGTTAGCTTTTAACAAGCATGTAATGATTACATTTAAATTAGGTGTTCTTTTTTAAACACGTCTTTATTTAGGCCTAAACTGACAGTGGCGGTACCACACATTCAGACACAGTAATAGACGGTGTTTTTAGTCTAATTTGGTTGTATGAGGTCTACATTGACCTTCTGTCTTGTAAGTTATAATGACTGCACAACCATTAGGGATCAAAACAGCTTCTAAATAATTTTTTGGTCCCTGTACTTGTTTCTTACTGTCTTTGAGGCTCGGGACCAGCACTCCCCACGTTACATCAAACTCGTACAAGTCTAGAAATGGAGCTGTTGGACAGAAAGACATCAACTGAGTGGTAAACATTATTGGGCAAGTTGCTACAAATTGTTTTTTAATTTAGTAGAACTTGAAATGTTTATCTGTGGGTAAACATTTCGTATTTCACAGTCAGAAACATCAAGTTATTCTTAGTATTGTATACTTGCAATGAATAAGCTGTCCTAACGTAGTTCTTTTAAGTAAGCTTTACTTAGATTTTTTGCATTGTTTTTTGTTTGTTTTTTTAGTTCTGTGAACTAATTTGATTTTACAGCGCAGTTGTTCACGGGTGACTGGTGCATCTGTCATCATCAGAGACCTTAAGGCCAATTAACTGACCTGTTTTTTTTCACATTTCCCCTCTGAATGGAATTAGTTCAACCTCTACCCCTTTTAAGGGAATAATTATTTATTCTCTGTTGAATCGTTAGTGTTCTCCTTCACAAAAAAATAAACAGTCTCTAATTGTTATGGTAGTTTTCATTTTAATGGAGAGCAACAGAATATCAACCAAAATTAAAAAAAAAAAAAGGAAAAATCACATTACATAAAATGTATAAACTGATTTGCATGTCAGGGAGTGAAAGAAGTGTTTCAATGCCCTGTAATTTTTATTGTGCCAAATCACAACAGTCTCCTCAATGTGCTTCCTTTTCCAAGATGGCGCAGCGAATGGATGCCCTGGCAGGCGTATTTTCCGTCTTGTTTTTTTGCAAAATTTGTGTTTCTGGACACTTTTCTGGATATTCTTACACCAGAGAAGCGCTTCTTAACTACTGTCACATCTGCGGTGGATAAACTCCCACCACTTACTCTGATTCAGACACATGACCCTGTATTGTGGTCTATGCACCTGTTCCATTCTTGCACTGATCATCACCTGCACTCATGTATATATCAATCTGCTTAGTTCTTTTTATCTTTAAGTGTTTGTCTTATCGTATGTCTTGCACAAAGTACAGCAGCAATTTCCTAATGTTGTAAATCTGCTCAACATTTGGCAATAAAACTCTTTCTGATTCTGATTTATACTGTAAGATGAGGACTCTACAGTAATACAAAGAAACCCAAAGAATCAGATGATGCCTGTTAACAAACACTTGGTCACAGTGGAAAGGAAAAACTCAGTTTTAACAGGAAGAACCTTCAGCAGAACTAGTGCTCAGGGAGGGGCGGCCATCTGTCGCCAGATGTTCACTCTCACTTCACTTTAACATATAGAAGGAAGATGTTTGTTTGCACGATTATTTAGTGCAAACATGTATTCTGTCAGATATCTCAGACTTTTATCTGAGTTAGTGCTCAGCTAAGATTAAATAATTATTGGTGGTAATTTTTACATCCATGTAGATGAGAGTCCCCTTCTGCTTTTGGATCATCTCTCCTCATCTCATTTCCTTGATTTCTTTGCTCGTGTAACAGGTGCATTAGAAATATTTTATCATTATTTTTCATGAATATTTCTATGTTTATTTTGTGTATTTGTATTTTTGTGAACTTTTGTTTGTGTGACCTTTGACTTCCCATGTGTGTCACTTCCTACTCTCCTCAGTCAGCCGAGGCCTCGCTGGGCAGAGGTGAGTTTCTGTTTCTGCTCCAGTTTACAGAACAGTTGCATGCAGTAAAGGTGCTAAAAAAAGGTTCAAACCCAGTTGGTTATATTTTTATAATATTGTTGGATGTTTTTAGTCTAAACTGTTTTTCTGTTGAGTGCAGCACTTTATTGTAATATGCTAATTTGCTGAACTTACGCTAGGTTAAGAGAACATGCAGGTGGTTTCTCATGCGGCCTGCTACTTTTCCCTCTTATAAAGGTGTGCACGTAGAAAATTTAAATGGCAGCATTAAAAAAAGATCAAATAGAAGAAAGTCTATTAATGTTAATGTTTTTATTCATCAGAGCACAAATAAAAAACACAAGTTCACCTAAAGTATTTTCTTTCAAGTCTCCAAAAACTCAAAACCTGATAAAAATGAACACTGAGCAAAACTCAAACGTCTCATTTTGTGCCGATGAACTCTGCCGTGACCACTACAGGGCGCCATCTCCGTATAACTGAGTGGACGCTGCGACTGTGGTCATCTACGTTTAAGTGGTGTTACATGAAGAGAAAGCAAGTGAAGCGCAACAGAAGCCAGTTAGAATCAGATTGACAGACTTTTAACTGACACACCAACGCTCGGCTTCATTACATCCATGAACCTCCTTTCGGGTCCTCTTTTCCTCCTGTCTGGCAGCTCGAGTCTCAATTATACCTTTAAAACCATGAGAATAAAATCAAAGTGTGAATGAGAGTTCCCGATAATCAGATTCTATAGAAAACATGGAGAATGTAGAGTATTTACTCTGAATATGTTCATTTGTTCCCTTCAATAAAAATCAATCAGTTCATCAAGTAAAATCAGTCGTTGATCGACTCAGTTTGATTGACAGGACAGATGATCAGAGGTGCAGAGAATGGGTGGAGTTTGTGAATGAAGGAGCAGCCAGTAAAGGAGTGGATAAGACCTGCAGCACCTACATCATAAAAGGAGACCAGACCCTCCTCATAATCCACAAACACCCCTATCATCTCAGGACCAGACTGAAGACAGAGGGGGACTGGAGGACCAGCAAGAGCTCTGTATTCATTTCCATTTCTCAGCCACACAGTCCAGAAACCATCCTGAGGACACAGTGGGATTTTTCCCTTCCTGTTGATCGACTCTCTGGCCACTCCTAAAGTCCAGGCAGTCTTTCCTTTAACCTGAACCTCAAAGTAAAATCTGCCTGAAGAGAAACTCTGCTTTCCTAAAACATTAGGGCATGGAGAAAATCTCTCTGGGTTGTCAGGAAGTTTCTTCCTCACATCACCACAGTGCACTTGTTTTTCATCATCAGACAGGATGAGTTTAGAATTTGCTGTATCCAGATCCAGAGTCACGTCCACTGCATACTGCTGGACCCTCTTCAGCTCAGCCTCAAACAGCTTCTTCTTCATGAGTTTCCTGAGCGTCTCCTCCAGCTGAGCCACAGCTCTCACCACAGTCCCCTCGTATGATGGTGGACGGACGCTCACTCCTCTCCAGTCCTTGGTGGGTGGAGCAGCTTTCAGGGACAAGAAGCTGGAGTAGGTGGAGGTGGTCTTCAGAGCGTGAGAGCTGCTCCACCTCAGATCTTCTCTTCTTCAGCTCAGAGATTTCCTGTTCCAGATCTTTGATCAGACCTTCAGCGTGTTTCTCTTTTGTTTCCTGTTTGTCTTCGATCTCCTTTATGAGCTCCTTCAGGCCTCTATCGACAGACTTCTTTAGAGCAGTGAAGACCTGAACACCTTCTGCTTTCTGTCTGTCTGCATCACCTTTACTCATCTTCACTGACTCTTTGATCTGCTGAATCTTCAGTCGTCTCTTCTGGATCATCTGCTGAATTTCAGCCTCTGTCTTCTCCAGCTCTGCCTTCTTTCCTTCATATTCGTCCTTCAGAGGAACAAACTCGTGGTTCTTGTGGTCTGAAATAGAGCAGCGTGCACAGACACATGTCTGGTCAGTCTTACAGAACAGCTCCAGAGGTTTATCGTACTTCTTACACATTCTGCCCTCCAGGTTCTCCACAGCATCAATCAGCTGATGTCTTTTCAGACCTTTCTTTGTCAGATGAGGCTCCAGGTGAGTCTGACAGTAGGACTCCTGACACACCAGGCAGGACTTCAGGGCCTTCAGTCTGGTTCCAGTGCAGATGTCAGGGAACTTCTCCTGGTTTGGCAGCTTGTTGCTCTGAGCTGCTGTAGCTGGCCTTCTGCTGAACTTCACATTTGAACTGAGCGACCACCTCAGAGATGAAGGTGTTGACCCTCAGATGAGGTCTAGTGTTGAAAGTTTCATTACACATGGGACACTGACACCTCTTATTTATGTCCCAGTACTCAGTGATGCAGTTTTTGCAGAAGTTGTGTCCACATGGTATACTGACTGGATCAGTGAACACATCCAGACAGACGGAGCACAGAAACTGATCTTCAGATCGCAGACTGCTGGCAGCAGACATGTCTGCACTCTGACGGAGAAAAAAAAAGAAACACTTTTTTTTTAATTCACAAAAAAAAGAAAAGAAAAAAGTGTCAGGTTTGTACTCTTTACATGTGTCTGTCAGCAGTTAGAGTTACTATCTATCTACTGTGATAGGATTTATATTCCTGTAAAAAGCAGAGTGATGAGCAATGACCAAAACTGCAGGTGAATATAAAAAGTGTGTAAATCTCCAAAATGACTCCATGTAGTCACCTGAGGTGACTGGCATATTATCAACCTCTGATGGTTCTTGAATAATGTGTAATGTACTTTCTGGTCCCAACAATTTAATAGCAAAATCTACAAAAGTTTAACTTATCCTTCTTAATTAAATATTTGTTTAGAGTGTTACAAACTATAAACTTTTCCTTCTCTGTGTTATATTCAGAGTATACATCCATTAGTTTATTTGATGCGTGACATACTTTTATAACATACCACTTTACAAAAAATAAATGTTTTTCCAATTAAAGCACATATTTATTTTGAAAATGACTCAGAACATTTTATTAAGGATAAAGGAAGCAGACAATAACCTTGTGTTCTTCTGTGATGTTAGTGTTGGATGAAGGGAGCAGTATCCTGTTGGCCAAGGATCAAATGCAAACACATGACACTACAGAATGAAGTGAATGTGAGCCTTTACTGGCTGATGCAAACAGGAAGAGTGGATAATAAAAGCCAGAAGAGTCAAGAAAGGAGTAATTAAAAAGAAAACACAGCATGAAACATCACAGCAACTACTTCTTCTAAATACTAAAAATGTCTTTCTTACATAAATGGAAGTAAAAGGATATTGAACGTAGTCTGTGAGCAGTTGGCAAACTTTTGCAGACAAGTCTGTGTTTTCTATGCAAACTGCAGCGAGCTCGTCAGCCTGCAGACACCAAAGCGAGGGAGCTTTTCAGTGCAGCACCAATTTCACCAGAAGACTGCCAGTGAAGGAATCCACATTCTTCCATAGTGACCAGTGGTTACCAAGAAGTCATAAGCTGATGTTGAGGCCTGTTTGACTGCAGTGTAAATGATCCACATTCCAGTGTTACACTGCATTTTTAAAATGTTGCCTCACCGCCTTCCCTGGTGGGTGATCTATCTCTACACATTTCAGAATAATTAATGAAGATATTTGTTAGTGAGGTGTGTTTACAGATTTAAGTCTTCAGCAGAAAACTGAGCTGATGGTCGCTCACATCAGCTGATTAATTCATGTGGCTGTAGGATGAGCTCTTTGGAGGTCCTGCTGAACTCCTTTATTTGCAGCCGTCCCTCCTTCACCTGCACAAACACCCTGATTAGAGTCAAGCAGCTCAGTGTTCTTCTGTCTGCTGGATTTCTGCCCCCTGCTGGCCTGGAGACAGATGACAACAGAGAGATCAGAGTGACAGCATCACAGGCAGAGGGCTTCATTCTCAGATACAAACACGTATTCAGTACCTGACAGTAGAAATAAAGGGCAGTGATCACCAGCAGCAGAGTCAGCGGTAGGATGAGCATTGTGATGAGAACTGTGAAATCTGTTGGAGCTGATAAAAACACATTCATCTTTGTATTAAAGTGAAAATAGTAGGATAAAAAGGGAGAAACAAGAACGTAATACTGTGGTAATTTCTAAGTTATTACCATTCAATTAATGCTGGTAGTTTCTTCTTGATGCATTCTCAATCATCCAGGAAAGTAAATCTCCAAAAAGTTGATTCTGTTCATCTGGACGTAGCGTTTTATGGGAGAAACGTTTCGTCACTCATCCAAGTGACTTCTTTAGTTACTTCAGTTCAGTTTGTACATGGAAGAAGTGGAAAAGAGGGCTTTGCTATCCTACCCTGGAACACCACCAAGCCATTGGTTCAGATATGTGGATGACACCTGGGTGTAAATCAAATCTCAGGACATACCACAATTCACTGATCACATTAACTCGGTGGACCGACAAATCAAATTCACCATAGAGGATATGAAAGTGGCAGGTTAGCCTTCTTAGACTGTGAGATTTCCATCAGTAATGAGGGACATCTAAAAGCTGACGTGTACCGTAAACCTACACATACGGATCAGTATCTAAGGTTTGACTCTCATCATCCACTGGAGCACAAACTGGGTGTCATCAGGACGCTACAACACAGAGCGAACACCATCCCCACTGACACAGCGACCAGGGAGGCAGAAGAACGGCACATCAAGAAGGCCCCTTAGTAAATGTGGTTATCCTAGCTGGACTTTTGTCAAAGCTGGAAAGGCACCTAAAGAAAGCTTCAGCCGATCCAGGAGAGAAGGACAACTGCTGCCCAAGTGAAAACCTGTAGTGATCCCATATGTGTCAGGAGTATCGGAACAGTTGAGACACATGTTTTCTAAACACCGGGTCTCTGTGGCTTTTAAACCCCAAAACACGCTGCACCAAAAACTGGTCCACCCCAAGGATCGGGTCCCCCAAACAGAGTAACATAGTGCACGCTGCTAAGTTCCAGGAGGATTGCCATGAACATCGGGGAAACCAAACAACCTCTGGCGAAGCGGATGGCACAACACAGAAGAGCCACCTCATCAGGCCAGGACTCTGCAGTCTATTCACACCTACAGGCCAGTGGACACTCTTTCAGTGATGAGGATGTACACATCCTGGACAGGGAGGAACGTTGGTTTGAGCGCAGAGTCGAGGAGGCCATTCACGTGAAATGGGAAAGACCATCTCTGAATCAAGGAGGGGGCCCAAGGGTACATCTTTCGCCATCTTACAATGCTGTGATTGCAGCCATTCCCCAACTCTCTGTGAATGGTACTCATGGCCATTGATCAGTGGTCTTTGGTCAGTGGTTGTTGATCAATGGTCATGAGAATTTGCATAATTAAGATTAAGGAACTGACCTCCCAGCCCATTGTTCCTTCAGTGGGCTGGTTTCAGTCATTATGCAAATGTACTGTTTATAAGATTGGGGAAACCTGCAGTCAGCTGAGACTGAAGAAGTCACTTGACGAAACGTTTCTCCCACAAAACACTACGTCCAGATGAACAGAATCAACTTTTTGGAGAGGCTGGTAATTTCTGTGTAATAAGCAGAGCTTATTACAGAGCTGCAAAATGCTGAACTGCCTGTTTTTTTTTTATTAATAACATATATGTGATTATTATGTGTCACAGATTTAAGCCCCATAGGGCTTAAAAAGAATTCAAACCGACAGATGTCACTGAAACATCGATTTTATCTGGCTAATGTGGATTCAGGTCATAAACAGTATCATCAAAAACTCTGACAGCAAACTCAGAAATTCCAGCTTCCAACTTCAACTGGAATGTAACATATCCTTCAGGAAGCCAGGTGACCTGGTTCTTTGGGTCATCAACTCATTCAGCTTTCAAAGCTGTAAACATCTGAGAGTCTCTGCTTCAGCTTACCTGACACAGTGACAGACAGCAGGCGGCTCTCAGAGGAGAAGTTATGAGCGATAGCATAGACGTGATAAACACAGCTGTAGTTTCCTTGGTGGGCGAGCTTTGCAGCAGGAAACAGGAAATAAGCAGAGTGATTGACAGCTGGTTGGGTGTAGTTGTATGCTGTGTTGGAGGAGGTGAAGGTGAGCTGGAAGAAGCCTCCTGGGTACTGTGGCTGGATGGAGCAGCTGATGGTGAAGTTAGAGCCCCTTGATACCCGAAGCTCCTGCTGCTGGGCTTTGGAAACCCCGTTCATGGAGGACACAGAGATGACTGGCTGAACCAGGAAGTCTGTAAACACAGAAAATCTTCTGAATCTGAGGTGAAAGAGAGAGGCTTGATTCATTCATGAGAGGTGGAATGGTGGAGCATTTTGGTGTTAGCAATATTTAAAATGGTGAAATACCACAAGCTTGTTAATGCTACAATCCAAAATAAATCCAAATTTGTGTGTCCACTTCTTATTTTTAAAGTCATTAAAGATATATGCTGTGCAAACACTCCACCCTGGAAACAGAACAGCTCGAATAACTGATTGAAAGCTCCAAATGATCCTGACACTCACACCATGATGAGTGGATTTTGAACACGACTGTAGTTTCTGATGGTTGAATTGTACACCAGTGTAATTAATTTACACTGTTAGGCTGATATAAACAAGTTTTATGTTCTTGTACAGACAGAAGGAATTCACAGTAATGGTTTAGAGAATCGTCTTTGAACTGTTACAGGCTGGGTTTCCTTGTTTGTATTTCTGATAAAATACTACTTATTATTAATCTATTGCTCTCTTTCACAGCATGTCTTTTGTCCTGTCTTTCTTCTCTCACCCTAACCAGTGGCGACAGATGGCCGCCCCTCCCTGAGCCTGGCTCTGCTGGAGGTTTCTTCCTGTTAAAAGGGTAGTTTTTCCTTCCCACTGTAATCAAAGCGCTTGCTCATAGGGGGTCATATGATTGTTGGGTTTCTTTCTGTATGTGTTACTGTAGGGTCTACCTTCCAAAACGACGCACCTTGAAGTGGCTGCTGTTGTGATTTGTTGTTGTATAAATAAAACTTAAATTTAAAGGAATGGTAAAATGACAGCAACATGGTGGCACAGTAGTTAGCACTGTTGCCTCACAGCAAGAAGTCCCTGAGTTAAATTCTGCCATCGGACCTCGGTCTTTTTGTCTGTCTGTCTGCTCTGCCCATTTGTGCGTGGGTTCCCTTCAGGTACTCTGGCTACCTCTCACAGTCCAAAGACATGGAGTCAGTGGGGTTAGCTTGATTGGTAACTCTAAATTGCCCATAGGTGTGAGTGTGAATGGTTGCTTGTCTCTTTGTGTTAGCCCTGCAATAGACTGGCGACCTGTCCAGGGTGTACCCTGCCTATTGCAAAAAGACAGCTGAGATAGACTAAAGCCCCCTTGCAGCCCTGACAAGGATAAGACAATGGAATGCATTTCTTTTAATAGCTAACTGAGATTTCTGCAGAGATCTTGCATCTGTTTCTAAAAACTGTTTTGATTGCCGGTCTCTCACCTCTGACATTTGGGGCAGCTTTGAACTCCAATTATTTCTGATGGAACTCTATTCTCCTGTGCTGGGTGCACTTGTTTATCACCATTCCAAGTTTAACAAGGATTTCATTTCAAGACCTTTCTGTCTTTTTATCTGGGATCTTACCAAGATTTGACAGCATTCTAATTCCTGGGGTTTTTTATATTCACGTTTGCTGCTACCAAAAATGTCTTGTGAAAGATTTCCCTTATCTTATTGACTCTTGTAATGTTGTTCAATCAGTCAGGGATCCCACCCATGACCATAGACATACTTTGGATTTAGTTTTATCCTGTGGTCTGCAGCTCCGCGATATTGACATTTGCAAGCTCAACTTTTCTGGTCAGATGCCTGTTATAATCCAAATTTCTGCACCATGTCCCCGAGTTAAACCTCTTTTACCTGCGTGCAAATTCTGCATCATCCCTCCTGCTACTGCTGGATGTTTTTCTGCTGTTTATCAGAATATTGGTGCACTTCCCTTGGACAATTACTCCCTTAAGCTCAGCGCTGATCATCTGCTCACTTTGTTCAGCATGTTCTTGATGCTGTTCCTCCTTTTAAATCTAAGTACATTAGACCTAAAACAAATCCCTGGTTAAGCAATATCACTCTCAGAAGGACCTCCAGAAAAGTGGAAGGAAAATGGCAAAAAGATCAAAACTACAAAAACGAAGTATTAAGTATCAGACATCATCTCTAATAATTGTTACAGGCCCTGTGTCCAGTGTGAAGGTTACTTCAGCCACCTGTGGAAGCTTTTTACAGTTTTTTGTTGATAAGGTTGCTACTACCAGGTCTAACTTTGCTTATAAATAAATGGATTGATTGATTGATTGATTGATAATTAGCTAAGACAGCTGGGTCATTTTCTCTAATGGTTACATTTTTACTTGAAAAGAAATGTATTAAGTCATTTCTTGGTACGCATAAGGCATTCAAATGAATTAAAACTCTGTCTGGGTCTTTGATTGAATACTAAGCTGGAGTTGAGGGTTGCTACCACACCCCCCGCCTGTGCTAAAGGATTCTGACAATGGTATAACTCCATCAAAGCTCTGTACTACTTACTTATTAAAAACAGAGGTTAGGACTTTTTAAACAGAAAGAGCTGATCCAGATGTGCTGTACTGGAGTGCCGGTTCTGCACATCAATAACAGAAAGATCTTTTCTTTATACTAGACTAGCATTTGATTGAGCTAACATATGAAAGCATGGCACTCTCGTGATGCACCCACACAAAAAAGATACAACTCAAGTGAGCATGTGCAATTGGTGCGAACCAGAACAGGTGTGATCAGTGTGGTCCAGTATCACATAGAGCTACAACAGGACCAAGGTATGTTTTAGTTCCTGCTGTCAGTTCAGGTTCTCCTCCCTCCTGTCCTGTTCCCTGTTCCCAAACAACCTGTTAACTAGTTTAATTATCCTACAGCCTTTGTGTCTGTACTTGTCTATGAACTTTGAAAGCTGTTAGGCTGAAGGAGTCCTTCAGGCTGGTTGGACATTGGTTTAGAGGATTTCTTAAGTTCTGCCATGTTGTGACTGCTGGAGACAGTCTGTTGCTAATCTTGCTGCTATCTTTCACAGCTTCATAAATCTCTGTCATATATGAAGTCATGGATGATATCATCAGTATGATTACCTGAACAGGTTAGTTTCAGGATTTGGTAAGAAGAATCTGTCGTTGCACAACCCCTCAAAGGAGATGTGGATAGAACACACTCAGGTGTAATCAACCATGCAGATGTGCGTGAGGAGCGTCGCTTTTCTATAGAAACAGCTGAGCCACAGTCCAGATGTTCACAGAAAACAGCTGCTTCTTTCAGGGTCCAGGAATCATGAGAGCCACACAATGGTCTCCATCCTGCCAGATGTTTTAACTCCAGTGTACCTGCACAGCGACTGGGTCCTCCTACCAGCCTGACATCATTATCTGAAGAGAAAGCAGAGAGGAGCAGAGAGTCATCAGTAAAAGAATAAAGTGAGTTTGACCAGATCAAAGCTGCAGCTCCTCTTCTACCTGAGCAGGTGAGTCCAACAGCTTTGCCAGGTGAGCAGCTGTTTCTAGCTGAGCCTGAGCTTCTACAGTCCAGGAGAGCAGACTCATGGCCTCCACACTGGAACTCTTTGCTCCACACTGGAGCCTCCACTTCTCCATAGAGCGCCCCCTGGAGGACCGAAGGAGGCCCACAGCCGAGCTGCCTACAGACCACCTCTGCATCCTGCTGGTCAAAGTCGGTTTCACACACTGAGGACCAGCTCTGGTTAGACTTCACCTCCAGTCTGCCTGAACACAGACTGGAACCATTCAGCAGCCTGACAGAGTCTGGAGACATCAGAGAAGATCAAACAGAGAGATCAGAGACAGCAGACACACAAGAAAAAGATGGCAGCAAACAACTATTCACTGACTCAACCTCAGCACAACTCAACATGACTTCATCATTAATGATAATAATAATAATAATGGATTGCATTTATATAGCACTTTTCTAGACACTCAAAGCACTTTACAATTCCATTATTCATTCACTCTCACATTCACACACTGGTGAAGGCAAGCTACAGTTGTAGTCACAGGTGCCCTGGAGCAGACTGACAGAAGCGAGGCTGCCATATCGCGCCATCAGCCAAAACCAGTAGGCAGTAGGGTGAAGTGTCTTGCCCAAGGACACAACAACCAGTACAGACAGAGCTGGGGATCAAACCGACAACCTTCCGGTTACAAGAGAAGCTTCCCAACCCCCTGAACCACGGTCACCCCCATTAACAACAGAACACATCTTTATAACAGCACACACTGGAGACATGTTAGCATAACAGTTAGATTTCATAATAAAACAGCTGTAGTTGCAGGCCCAGCCTACTGGTTCCCTTTGTGGATGTGTAGTATTGTCCCTTTTTCTTGTGGAACCAGTAAAATTGGTGCAGCTGATGCAGGGACATAACATGGCCAGAGAGACAAATTTGTTGACATATTATATTTTATGTTTCTTTATTTTCCTTTTGGTGGTGATGTTGTATTGTCTGTGTAAATGCTCATTTGATGGTTTTATTCCCAATTCTCCTTCCTATCTTTGTCTTGCCTTGAATATTGTTCTATGAACCCAGTACCCAAAAAGAGACGGTCTGAATCTCTCATCTTCTGAGTAGGCAGTGCACAGCTAGAATAGAGCCAGGGGGTGATGGGACTCGTACTGTTCCAACTCCTTCTATCTTCCATTTTTATTCAATTCTATTTTTTTAAGTGCCAAAAAAAGTGCCACTCCCACCCACACTACCAACCAGGATCCACAAGGAGTAGTGGAGTCTGCCACGATGACAATATCTTGAACATCAAAACTTTTCTTGTTCTTTGACCACCACTGTCATTCCTGCAACAATGCTACAGTACACAGTTTTCTACCTTCTACCTCACACAAAAGGGTTTGTAATCATTTATCATCCACTCTTTGTGCTCCCACAGTATCCTAATTACTTATGAATGTGACGTAGAATGAAAGTAGAGACATGAGGAATCACTGGATGTTTCATATCATCAAGCTAATTAATTAAGCCTTTCCCCAACTCTGAAAAATTAATTCTCGATTACTAGACCAAGCTTATAGAGACGAATGCTTTCCTTTCCTCCCATTCTGTATTTCAAACCAGATATTTCATCACCAAACCTTTTTAATAGTTAATGATGGCACGCCTTGCATCTTGTGTATCAAAGGATAAACACCAGCCATCCAACGTCGCCTGAAAGCTTTTAATATATTTTTCAAAAGTATTTGTTGATATATTTAGGCCACTTCATGGCCCAACATATCCTGGACTTCATAGCGCGGCGGTGGGTGTGGATAATTTTGCGGAAAAAACGGCAGACAGCTGAAACGGAGCGGCCGAAGAGTAAACTTTCAAAATTAAGTACCGAATATTGTGTCACTTATTTATGTGCGAATGTTAAATAACGAAGAACATTAAAACATTACTGTTGGCCACATGTCGGCAAAGTTATGTGACATTAGTGATGTTTGTACTTTCTGTGTTAACTTGGTTTTAAAGCCTTTAAAATATACGCCGTTCAATAGTTGGCCTTAATCTTACAGAGATTGTGATGATTTCATGGATAATTAAAGTCAGTCATATATCCACAAACACAACAGGCTGAAAGTCAGTGATGCTGCTCGGTTTGCAGTCCTGAATATCACGGCACAAGCAGGATTCACTGCACTGTTAATGTTAGCTATGTTATATTGCTGCCTCTGTTCGGTGGTGTCGAGCCAAACGGACTTTAACGTGTGTTTAAACGAGCTGACGGTTCACTCGTTAAGTTGAAAGAAAGATGCTTTAATCACAGGAGTCACACATGTGTCCACTGTACCATCTGGGAACTCTTCTTGTTTAGCACTCGTAATAACACAAACACTAAATCCTCCTGTTTGTAGCAGTGTGTACACCTGAGACTGTCACCTGTCTGTCTGTCCTGCACTCACTCTCTTTTTCTTTCTCTCTGATTGTGTAATAAAAGTATGAACATGTGTTTATAAGTCACACTTGTGTTTGAATCCTGCAGCTTATCACACATTTGATTTCCATGTGTGACAACTGCAAGTGTCAAGAGTGAGGACAGACTGAGGGACCCACTGCTGCACATCTGTGAGGCTTTGCACCCCTAATGATCCACCAGGACAAACTCAGCAGTGTGTGAGGAAGAGGAGGAGGAAGAGCCAGCAGCAGCTGACAGATGGAGAGAATAGACAGACTGTTCCCTGGTTGTGAAGGACTGCTAGAAAAGTTTAAAATAACTAATTGTATGTCCTGAATCAGTCTTATTAGGTAATATTCAAATAATTGTATCATTCTAGTGTTTTCAGTGTGGGAGAAAGTACTCAGGGCCTTCAAGTTACACACTATGAAAGGCAGCAACAAGTTTAATGTTCAGAAACCTAAAGTATGTATCAGCAGCAGAATGGAGCTAAAAATAAATGTTTGTTTCAGTTCTATGAAGCTTTGAGTATTTTGGATCAGTAGCACTGCTGTGTTTGTTGCATCATATTGCTGTAATTGTTTATATGCTTTATATATTCTGAGGTAAGTTGATCTATAGTGTTACATAATATTCTATAAGGATGTTATGTGTTTGTATACTTTTTGCCCAGTTTGACCCATTTAGCAGAAGTCAGCCTGTTTAAGGCTCTGATATCTATTCTGTATGACTTAAAGCAGTTATGACAGGGTCTGATTTTCTCACCCAATAAAGGAATATTAAAAGAAAAATATTTGTCTCTGATATATAATACATCTATATATACACTGTAACAGACACTTCTCTTTGAGTGAAGATTTAAGGTGATAGGAAATATAGATAAATGCAACTTGAATCTTTACTGAAGCTCAGTATTTGACACAGAGTTCAAGCTCACTGTTGTAATAACTAATAATAATTTATATAATAACTTTTTTTTCCCTTTTTTTTGCCTGTCCCGTTTGGCTCCTTTGCCATCAGAATTATTGTCTAAAGGTGGAGAAAGATGCCCAACGGATTTACTTTACCAAATTGACCATCCCAGCCTTGCCATAATGGTCCATTTGATTCACCTTTTATTGTTTATTTTATTTTCACTTGCTGAATACGGGACAGACTTGACTGGGGGAAAGAAAGAGGGAATTTATATATTTATATAATAACTTTAAAATTGGCCATATTATATTTACATTACCAAAGTGAGATGATGTCATGATCCTGGGTCTGTTGACCCAGCGTTTTGAGTATTAGTTTATGTAAGCCCTTCAGGTTTCCTAAGTTCATTTGTTATCATGCCTAGGTGTTTCTAGTTCTTATTATTTCCCCCTCGTGTTTCCAACTATGTTAAGTCTCCCCTGCTCTTCATGTGTTTCATGTCTGTGTCTTATGTTGTCAAGTTCGGGTTGTCATGTCTACGTCTCATTATGTTTCCTGTTTTATTGTGAAGAGGTCTGGTGTTTCTGTGTTCATCGTGTTCAGTTTTACTCTCCCACTGTGATATCGTTATGTTCATGTGTCAGCTGTTTCTCCATGTGTTGCCACTTTCCTCATTATCCTCCTGTGTCTATTTAGTGTGTGTGCTTTCAGTCATTCTTGGTCAGGTCGTCTGCTCATCCATATCTCATCTCCAGGTATCTCTGTCAGTTCACTGTGGTTAAGGTTTTTCATGTTTTGTTATTAGTTCACCCAGTTTAGGTTATTGTTTTAGTTTTCACCGATGCCCTATTATTTTGTACCCTCGTTGCTAGCCTCAATAAATGGCTTGTTTTGTTAATCCACACCATGTTTTGGTCTGCGTTTGAGTCCTCCTCTGCAACACATACGGTCTGCCCCAGCCAGACCGTGACAGATGACTTTAGTCTCATGAACAACATTAGCTAATTGTTATTAACTAGCTAATCTTAAATGACTGTTCAGTACAGAAATGAAGCCCAACAATTATGTTTTTACAGTCCTGTGGTCTCAGCCTCAGATACTCAAAAAAATCTATCAGAGCTCATGTAAAAACAAACAAACAAATGAACAAAAGATTTTCTCCTTCATTTCTGTCAAACAAAGCTGTATGAAAAATTTCCAGCTGTTAGTATCATGGTTGCTAGGCAACCTGGGCAGCGCGACGGAGGCTAGACCGTCCCATTTCACAATCCTACAACCCTCGCACTTCTGGCCTTAGCGGTGTTTGAGTACGCGGCCCTTGTGGACTGTTAAGGCTGCGTACTTAAAGGCTGCAGACCCTGAATTGGGATACAGCCCTACAGCTCATCAGGCTAGTCGGGGGAGCAACGCTTGCACTGCCGGTGTTCTGGGAATCCATCCTACCTGAAAAAACATCCTAGCCAATGTTTCTGCGCAGACGTGGCGCATTCGCACAAAACCAACGCCAAATTGACTTCTTTTTCTCTCACCCATCCGGAATACTTGTTAAGGTTATGGTTTAAAGTTTAGAGTAGGATGGTTTCTCAGAACAGGCTCCTCAACGCAGCCGGATTCCCAGTCTTTCCAACAGCCAGCTGTGGTGAGTAAAAAGGACATCGGTTTTGTCACTGAACTGTGAGACAGCTAATGCTGCTGCCCCGGCCTGTAGCTCAGTTCGCTGTAGCTCAGCCGGCAACTCGGCCGTCTCTATCCTCTGCTGAACACTCGGGGGAGTTTAGTCTGCCAGCAGAGGATTGCGGAACGCTACCAGGGCTGGAATGGACTGACTGCTCTGCACAGCCCCAGCCGCTGCTTCATAAGCCTACTTCACCTACATCACTTCACCTACCTGTTGGTGCTGCAAATCCACCCAATCTAGCACCTGCAGCCGCCACACCACCATCACCATCGGCTCTACCACCTGCAGCTGCAGCGCCCGAGCAGGAGATCAGCATGCCCGGGGACCCACTCTGCCCAAGCAGTAGGTCAGCGCGCCGGAGGGACCCACTCTGCTCGAGCACGAGATGAGCATGCCAGCGGGACCTGCGTAGGGCGCGCAAGTTCCTGGTGTCAGCAAGGAAGTTTTGCCATCGTGGGCGGCCGCCAGAGCTGCAAGGCTGCCACCGGACCAGGGGCAGGCTGCCCGTGCTGCTACGCCGCTACCCCTGGAACCGTGGTAGGCCACCGGACCTGTGACACTGCCGCCGGATCCGGGGCATGCCACCGGAGGTGCAACGCCGCCACTCAACCATAATATTCTATTAGAGTGATTAGAGCATGCTGTTGGTATTACAGGCACTGCACTCCAGTGATTTGTATCATGTCTATCTAATAGACTCCAGTTTGTTAATGTAGATAGTACATGACTTAATAATTGATCATCAAATCGATTTACTCTGCCTTACAGAAACCTGGTTGCAGCCGGATGATTATGTTACGGTAGTTTAAACGAATCAACACCCCCGAGTCATTCTAACTATCAGAAATCTCAAAGCACAGTGGCAGCAATTTTTCACACCAGCCTATTAATTAACGAAAGCCTGATGCTTAGCCTTGTCCACCCCAGCTGTAAAACTCAGAAACCAGTCTTACTTGTTATCATATATCGTCCACCTTGGCCTTACACGAAGTTTCTGTCTGATTTCTCAGACTTTTTATCTGATTTAGTTCTCAGCTCAGATAAAATAATTATTGTGGGTGATTTTAACATCCATGTAGACGCTAAAAATGACAGCCTCAACATGGCATTTAATCTGTTATTAGACTCAATTGGCTTCTCTCAAAATGTAAAAGAACCCACCCACCACTTTAATCACACTCTAGATCTTGTTCTATCATATGGCATAGAAGCTGAACATTTAACAGTGTTTCCTGAAAACCCTCTCCTGTCTGATCATTTCCTGATAACATTTACATTTACAGTAATTGATTACACAGCGGTGAAGAGTAGACTTCATCACAGTAGATGTCTTTCTGAAAGCGCTGTAACTAAGTTTAAGAATATAATCCACCCACTGTTATCATCTTCAATGACCTGTACCAACACAGAGCAGAGCAGCTATCTGAACGCTACCCCAACAGAGGTCGATTATCTTGTTAATAATTTTACCTCCTCACTGCGTACGACTCTGGATACTGTAGCTCCTGTGAAAACTAAGGTCTAGGGATGGGTATCGTTTAGGTTTTATCCGATACCAGTACCAAACCGGTACTTTTGAAATGGTGCCGGTGCTTAAACGGTGCTTAAAGAATCAAGAACAAAAACTTTGTCCAAAAACCTCTCATGTTTAGCTGTTTTTTGTAAAAAGATAACAATGTTAGCCTTTTCTGCAGCTATAGGGCATATATGGTATCACTCTCGGCTGGAAGCAGTGCTTAAACAATGGAAAAATACCAACTTTGTCCAAAAACCTCTCATGTTTAACTGTTTTTCACTTTTTCTTTGGCCATTTTAGCCTTTTTGGCCAGGGTGAAGGGAGTATCTGCCATCAAACAAGAAGACAGCCGCATGTAGCTATGATGATGTTTGCTAGTTCACCTTACGTGCATTAATGTAATAACGTGGTTAGCCTACTCAACGTAAATTACACACGAACAACATTAAGCTACTCACGCAGAGAAGAACGGCTGCTGCTGCATCAATATCCTCATCATTTCTGCTACACTGGCAGGGCTAGGGGCCAGGACTCTCCTCTTTGGTTTCTTGGGGGATGTTGCTAACTCTGGGTCCGATAACAGGCACCACACCCGCAGTAGATGTGCTCGGTGTGAGGTCTCGCAGCAAGCTATCAAATACGGCACATTTCTCAGCTTTAAAAAAACGCTATGCGTCGCCAGGTGTTTCATCAGATTCGAGGTGTTACCTCCTTTGCACAGTATCACCTTAAAGCACTTGTTGCAGGCTGCTGAGTTTGTATCTTTTGCTGTGAAGTACAGCCAGACTTTGACCGCTTCGCCTTGGGCATTTTTAATCTGTAGCTCTGCTCTAAAAGAACGTACGTACCTGGACCCGCCTACTACGCTCGCAAAGGTAAAATGATTGGCTAGAATTCAAAGTGTGTGACATCTCAGGAAAAAAAAGCACCGAAATGTGCGCTGCTTTTCGGTCTGGTTACTACCGTTTATGTCAGAACCGGTGCCATAATGGCACCGGATATCGGTACTTATCCCTACTAAGGTCTCTAATCAGAAGTACCTGACTCCGTGGTATAATTCTCAAACACGTAGCCTAAAGCAGATGACTCGTAAGCTGGAGAGGAAATGGCGTGTCACAAATTTAGAGGATCATCATTTAGCCTGGAGAAATAGTTTGCTGCTTTATAAGAAAGCCCTCCGCAAAGCCAGAACATCTTACTATTTGTCACTGATTGAAGAAAATGAGAACAACCCCAGGTTTGTCTTCAGCACTGTAGCCAGGCTGACCAAAAGTCAGAGCACTGTTGAGCCAACCATCCCTTTAACACTAATTAGTAATGACTTCATGAACTTCTTCACAAATAAAAATTTTATCATTAGAGAAAAAAATTACCAATAATCATCCAACAGATGTAATATTATCTACAGCTACTCTTAGTACCATTGATGTTAAGTTAGACTCTTTTTCTCCAATTGATCTTTCTGAGTTAACTTCAATAATTACTTCCTCCAAACCATCAACGTGTCTTTTAGATCCCATTCCTACAAAACTGCTCAAAGAAGTCCTGCCATTAATTAATGCTTCAATCTTAAATATGATCAACCTATCTCTAATGATCGGCTATGTACCACAGGCCTTCAAGCTAGCTGTAGTCAAACCTCAAAACTCAAAAAGCCATCTCTAGACCCAGCAGTCTTAGCTAATTATAGGCCAATCTCCAACCTTCCTTTCATATCAAAAATCCTTGAAAGAGTAGTTGTCAAACAGCTAACAGATCATCTGCAGAGAAATGGTTTATTTGAAGAGTTTCAGTCAGGTTTCAGAGCTCATCACAGCACAGAAACAGCTTTAGTGAAGGTTACAAATGATCTTCTTATGGCCTCAGACAGTGGACTCATCTCTGTGCTTGTCCTGCTAGACCTCAGTGCAGTGTTCGATACTGTCGATCATAATATCCTATTAGAGCGATTAGAACATGCTGTAGGTATTACAGGTACTGCACTGCAGTGGTTTGTATCATATCTATCTAATAGACTCCAAGTTGTACATGTAAATGCAGAGTCCTCTTCACACACTAAGGTCAGTTATGGTGTTCCACAGGGTTCGGTGCTAGGACCAATTCTATTTACATTATACATGCTTCCCTTAGGCAGCATCATTAGAAGACTTAGCATAATTTTTCACTGCTATGCAGATGACACCCAGCTCTATCTGTCCATGAAGCCAGATAACACACCAATTAGTTAAACTGCAGGAATGTCTTAAAGACATAAAGACCTGGATGGCCGCTAACTTTCTGCTTCTTAATTCAGATAAAACTGAGGTTATTGTACTCGGCCATAGAAATATGGTATCTAACCAGATTCTTCCTCTGGATGGCATTACCTTGGCCTCCAGTAACGCTGTGAGGAACCTAGGAGTCATTTTTGACCAGGATATGTCCTTCAATGCACATATTAAACAAATATGTAAGACTGCTTTCTTCCATTTCCGCAACATCTCTAGAAATATCCTGTCTCTTAGTGACACTGAAAAACTAGACCATGCATTTATTACTTCCAGGCTGGACTACTGTAATTCTTTATTATCAGGATGTCCTAAAAAACTCGCTGAAAAGCCTTCAGTTAATCCAAAATGCTGCAGCAAGAGTCCTGACAGAGACTAGAAAGAGAGAGCATAAGCATATTTCTCCTGTTTTGGCTTCCCTTCATTGGCTTCCTGTTAAATCCAGAATTGAATTCAAAATCCTGCTCCTCACATACAAGGTCTTAAATAATCAGGCCCCATCTTATCTTAATGACCTTGTAGTACCATACCACCCTATTAGAGCACTTTGCTCTCACACTGCAGGCTTACTTGTTGTTCCTAGAGTATTTAAAAGTAGAATGGGAGGGAGAGCCTTCAGTTTTCAGGCCCCTCTTCTGTGGAACCAGCTTCCAGTTTGGATTCGGGAGACAGACACTATCTCTACTTTCAAGATTAGGCTTAAAACTTTCCTTTTTGCTAAAGCATATAGTTAGGGCTGGACCAGGTGACCCTGAATCCTCCCTTAGTTATGCTGCAATAGACGTAGGCTGCCGGGGATTCCCATGATGCATTGAGTTTTTCCTTTCCAGTCACCTTTCTCACTCAGTATGTGTTAATAGACCTCTCTGCATTGAATCATATCTGTTCTTAACCTCTGTCTCTCTTCCACAGCATGTCTTTATCCTGTCTTTCTTCTCTCACCCTAACTAGTGGCGACAGATGGCCGCCCCTCCCTGAGCCTGGTTCTGCCGGAGGTTTCTTCCTGTTAAAAGGGAGTTTTTCCTTCCCACTGTCGCCAAAGTGCTTGCTCATAGGGGGTCATATGATTGTTGGGTTTTTCTCTGTACCTATGAAGCGCTTTGAGGGGACTTTTGTTGTGATTTGGTGCTATATAAATAAAATTGAATTGAATTGAATTGAATTAGATGGAGAGTTCTCTTCATACACTAAGTTTAATTATGGAGTTCCAGTGGAGTTCAGTGCTAGGACCAATTCTGTTTACATTATACATGCTTCCCTTAGGCAGTATCATCAGAAGGCATAGCGTACATTTTCACTGCTATGCAGATGATTTATTACTTCAAGATGTCCTAAAAACTCTCAACTCTGGATAGTCAGATAAGATATACCAGAACACCAATGTGCATTTTTAAAGGAACAGAAAGTGAAAGTCTACAACAAAGAGAGCACACAGTCATGGATAATATCTTCAACATAATTACCTGAGCAGGTGAGTTTCAGGATGTAGTCAAGCTGATCTGATATTGCACAATCCCTATTGGACAGAGGAGTTTTGGACACAATACAGGAAGACCTGATCAACCACACAAATTTGTATGAGGACTGTGCCGCTTCCATAGAAACAGCTGAGCCACAGTCCAGTTGTTCACACACAACAGCTGCTGCCTTCAGGGTCCAGGAATCATCAGAGTACCCCATTGGTCTCCATTCTCTAAGATGTTTTAACTCCAGTGTACCTGCACAGCGACTGGGTCCTCCTACCAGCCTGACATCATCAGACTCTGAACAGAAAGCAGAGAGTCATCAATAAACAAATAAAGTGAGTTTGAGCCAGATCAAAGCTGCAGCTCCTCTTCTACCTGAGCAGGTGAGTCCAACAGCTTTGCCAGGTGAGCAGCTGTTTCTAGCTGAGCCTGAGCTTCTACAGTCCAGGAGAGCAGACTCATGGCCTCCACACTGGAACTCTTTGCTCCACACTGAAGCCTCCACTTCTCCATAGAACGCCCCCTGGAGGACCAAAGGAGGCCCACAGCCAAACTCCCTGCAGACCACCTCTGCATCCTTCTGGTCAAAGTCAGCTTCACACACTGAGGACCAGCTCTGGTTAGACTTTACCTCCAGTCTGCCTGAACACAGACTGGAACCATTCAGCAGCCTGACAGAGTCTGGAGACATCAGAGAAGATCAAACAGAGAGATCAGAGACAGCAGACACACAAGAAAAAGATGGCAGCAAACAACTATTCACTGATTCAACCTCAGCACAACTCCAAGATGACACTGGAAACATGTTAGCATCACAGTTAGTTTTCATAATAAAAAAAAAAGCTGTAGTTGCAGCCCCAGCCTACTGGTTCCCTTTGTGGATGTGTAGTATTGTCCCTTTTTCTTGTGGAACAAGTAAAATCGGTGCAGCTGATGGAGGGACATGACATGGCCAGAGAGACAAATTTGTTGACATATTATATTTTACGTTTCTTTATTTTCCTTTTGATGATGATAGTGTATTATCCATCTATTTAAGCGCTCATTTGATGGTTTTATTCACAAATCTCCTTCCTGTTTTCATCTTCCCTCAACATTTGTTCTGTGAAACCAGTACCCCAAAAGACACGGTCAGATAGAAAGCAGCAAGATACACAGAGCTTTTTTTCTTTTTTAATAAAGCAGCAAACTATTTCTCCAGGCTAATTGATGATCTTCCAAATTTGTAATACACCATTTCTTCTCCAGCTTATGAGTTATCTGCTTTAAGGTCTGCATTTGAGGGTTTATACCTGGAAGTCAAGTGCAACCCCAATTCCCAATGAAGTTGGGACATTGTGTAAAATGTAAATAAATGCATCAACACTACATATGAGCGGGCGGAGGGAGGTTTTGGAGTCTTCTCACACCCCCGTTCTCTGTGACCTGCTGGAGCGGGGGGGCCGGGAGGAGGAGTTGGCCGTCTGACTGGAGTGTGGGGCCTGCAGAGTCGGGGCGGTCTGCTTCTTCCCACCGCAGGGAAAAAGGGTAACACCACCTGGGTCTGGGTGCAGTTCCCCCCTCCAGGGGCAAAGGTACCTAGACCCGGTTTGTAGAGTACGCTTGGGGAGTGTGATCGTGTGTACAGCGTCTCTTTATGTCTGTCTCCACGTTGGGTGAGTGTTGAGTAATTGCATATGAGAGCATGAGGGTGGGAATGGATGTTTGTGTCTGTGTGTGCCTGTATGTCTGTGTCTATATGTCAGGTTGGGTATCAGACGCCACCTCTCTGGGGACATCTCAGGCCCTTTAAGGGATGGAGGCCTATCTCCCCCCACCACTTCCCCTGCCAGTGGCGGACTCCCTCAGACATCGGTGCGTTGGTGGTTCTTTGTGTCCGGGGGTGGGCGCCCAGGTACACACCGGCTCACTCCTTGGTGGCTGCTTATCGGGGCCTGGAGCCTGGGGCTTCCTCGGGCCACTTTGGGGGTGGGGTGCCCTTGGCCTCTCGGCCTGGGGCTCGGTCATTCTGGCGCAGCTGGCTGCCGGCGGAGCTCACGGGTACGTCACTGCAACCCCCCCTGGCTTCTGCTCCGCGCTGCTGGGTGAGCCCTCATCTGGGACTCTCCTCAGCTCTTTCTGGGACAGTGGCGCGGCTGCCCCTCTGTTGGTCTTCCTTGGTCTCTTGTGTTCTGGGGGCCTCTGGATGTCTGGAGTCTTGATCTCCTCCATACCTGCTTCATGCCCTGGAGGACGGGTCTGTGGCTCCCCACACCCTCTAGCAGATCATTACATGAAGGAACCTTTTAAAAACAAGCGCGTCCATGCTCACAGGTGTACACACGGGTGATCACACCCACAAACGACACCCTTTTTGGCTCCTACCTCAAAGCACACGGTGTTCTGTTGATCTTACGTGCTGCACAGTAATGTTTAATATTTAGTATTTACTATTATATTCCCATATATCATTGTGATGTTGTTTATTGTATTGCTCTCATTTCCTTCTGCTTGTTTTCTTTTTTCTTTTTCAACAGGTGATCCAGGTGATTGATATATGCATTTTTTTGTGTCTGCTTACTTAGTTGGTTTTTGTTTTTTTGCCCTTTATCCCTGTCCCTTTTCTCCGCTGTTCCCCCCCCCCCCCCCCCCCCGCTTCCTTTCTCCCTTTTCTTTTCCTCATTCAAGTCTGTCTGAAAATAAAATAAATAAATAAAATAAACAATAAAAGGTGAATCAAATAGACCATTACGGCAAGGCTGGGATGGTCAATTTGGTAAAGTAAATCTGTTGGGTATCTTTCCTCGCCTTTAGACAATAATTCTGATGGCAAAAGAACCAAACGGGACAGGCAAAAAAAAAAAAATGTAAATAAAAACAGAATACAGTGGTCCTTTCCAACGTATATTCAATTGAATACACTAGAAAGACAAGATATCTGTCTTCAAACTAACAAACTTTATTATTGTTTTGTGTTATTTTGAATTTGATGCCTGCAACCTGTTCCAAAAAAGCTGGGACAGGGGCAGCAAAAGACTGAGAAAGTTGAGGAATGTTCAAAAAACACCTGTTTTAAACATTCCACAGGTGAACAGCTTAATTGTCATGGTATAAAAGGAGCATCCCCAATAGTCTGAGATGTTCACAAGCAAGTATGGGGTGAGGTTCACCATTTTGTGAACAACTGATTGGACAAATTCAGCAGTTTAAGAACAATGTTTCTCAACGAACAATTGCAAAGAATCTAGGGATTTCATGATCAACTGTCCATAATATAATCAAAAGATCCAGAGAATGTGAAGAAATCTCTGCACGCAAGATGCAAAGCCGAATACCAACACTGGATGCCCGTGACCTTTGATCCCTTAGGTGCATTAAAAACCGACATCACTCTGTAAAGGATATTACCACATGGGCTAAGGAATACTTCAGAAAACCATTGTCAGTTAACCTAGTTCATCGCTACATCTACAGTGCAAGTGCAAGTTAAAACTCTACCATGCAAAGCAAAAGCCATATATCAACAACACCCAGAAACACTGCCAGCTTCTCTGGGCCTGAACCCATCCGAGATGGACTGATGCAATATAAATGTGTGCTGTGGTCTGACAAGTCCACATTTCCAATTGTTTTTGGAACTGATAGATGTCGTGGCCTCTGAACCAAAGAGTAAATGGGTCACCCAAATTGTTATCAACGCAAGTTTAAAAGACAGCATCTGAGATGGTATTGGGGGTGTGTTAGTGCCCATGGCATGGGTAACTTGCACATCTGTGAAGGCACCATTAATGCTGTAAGGCAGCAGTCCCCAACCTTTTTTGCACCACGGACTGGTTTATGCCCGACAATATTTTCATGGACCGGCCTTTAAGGTGTCGCGGATAAATACAACAAAATAAAACTAGTACCGGTACCGAAAAAAAGAAAATTTATTCATAACACACGTGAAAAGATCAAGGAAAACCGAGTAAACGATAAAAACGATAACAAAACAACGCTCAAAACCGATAAAAACCCTGAAAACTATACATTTCACACCTGAGCCTCACTCTCGCGGCCCGGTACCAAACGACTCACGGACCGGTACCGGTCTGAGGCCCGGGGGTTGGGGACCGCTGCTGTAAGGTACATACAGGTTTGGGAGCAACATATGCTGCCATCCAAGCAATATATTTTTCACGGACCTGCCTTCTTATTTCAGCAGGACAATGTGAAGCCACGTTCTGCATGTGTTACAACAGTGTGGCTTTGTAGCAAAAGAGTGCAGGTACTAGAGTGGCCTGACTGCAGTCCAGACCTGTCTCCCATTTAAAATGTGTGTCACATTATGAAGCTTCTGTCCTGTGCCACATCATCAATAAACACTAGTGTTCCACTGCCACTGGCAGCTATGGATGCCCGAGCCATCACACTGCCTTTGCTGTGTTTTACAGATGATGTAGTATGCTTTGGATCATGTTCCATGCCTTCTCCCTTCTTTTTTCTCGCTGTCATTCTGATAGAGGTTGATCTTGGTTTTATCTGTTAAAAGTATGTTTTTCCATGTTTTTCTATTCTTGAGGCATATTAGTGGCTTGCACATTGCAGTTAACCCTCTGGATTTAATTTCATGCAATCTTCCCTTTATTGAAGACTTATATATCCATACGCCTAACTCCTGGAGAGTGTTGTTCCCATAGTTGGCTATCGTGAAGGCAGGGCTTTAGACTAACTTTTTGCCACAGCACAGGGGACCTTTATCGCGGCATATAATGTGTGTTTTAATTGTGTGTTTCAGTTCGAAACATATTAGCGGCAGTCACAAATGCAGTATTGCCGGCCATGATCTTTCCACACTCACAACAGTAAATGCAGTGCATCTTATTGTCAGATTTACTGTATCTTAGCCAGGGAAACTGGTCAAGCCACTTTCTTCAATTTGTATACACTTTTAAATTAATTCCCCCCTGGGCTTTAGCTTGGAGTCTATCATTTTTTGGCTTTTTATAGCATATAACTGCCTTAAAAATATTCTGCAGTGAATCAAAAACTGAAGAACACATTGAATCAACATATGATCATTACCCAATGCTACTGAAGTGAAGCAGAGGAAAGTTAGAGGTTTTGCTAAGTGTTTTGCAATTTTGGCAAAAAAAAAACCAAAACAAAACAAAAAAAAAAAACAGCGGCCGACAGCACTGTCCATGACTTGTGCGTAATCATTGACTGTAGAAAACATGGACGATGCGACAGCGCCCCAAAAATGAAGCCAAAACATCTCTATCGACCCCTGGTGTCTGGCTGCAGTATAGGTCATAAACCCTGCCTCCTCCATGTTAGTGGATGGAACTGGGGTCAGACTAAAATAAATAAATTCTCCTTAGATAATTTTTTTCCAAAGATTCTTTCTTTTGTTATCAATAGTTCTCCTCATGCTGATTGATGTCCAAGGGTCATCATGTCCAAGGCATCTCCATTCCCATAAGTTTGATTATAATTACTACCGCGGTGATGTTAAATTGGGGTGAAACGTCATCATAACAGCTTTGACTGGCAGCTGCAGTCACGGAGAAACTTGCGTATATCTGTTCGGGAATAGCAGATAGAGCGTAGGCTCTGAGAGGAGGGCCAGCGTTTACGCTACGAAAACACGACCGAGTGTTTTAACCTGACAGCCTGAGGTGTCAAACTTTACTGGACATAAAAGACGGACTTTCTCATCA